TCCCCGCGCTCGATGTACTTGACGGCGACGAGCTCCATGGTGCGGCGGTCGCGCATGAGTCGGGCGACGCCGAAGTTGCCGGAGCCGATGTCCCGCACCAGCTCGTAGCGGTCGCTGTCGTGCATGATCGGCATGTCCATGCCCGGGCCGACCGTCAGCGCCGCCCGATCCGGCGCCGCCCCTGCCATGGCCGGCGGCGACTGGCGGTCGATAGAGGGGCCCCGCGGCCGATAGGGCTCGGTTTCCCCGGGGTGGCCGCCCCTCTCCTCCCGCCTCCTCTCCCCTCGAATCGACGGCGAGCTCAACCCCCTCTCCCCCCTCCACCGCGACGAGTCCGTCACACTGGCCGACCGAGAGAGAGAGAGAGAGAAAGATAAAACGCCCGCTCAATCACTCTCTCGCCCGTCTTATTATTGCCGGGGTTGGTGCTTGGTGCAAAGCGCTCCTCTGGGAAGTGGTTTTATTGGACGTCAGCTTTCGGCACTTGTGTCATAAATGATGTGGGGGAGGAGTAGGGTTCCCATGGTTTTCCACTGGATATATATGGAAGTTTGTTGAGCCCTCATGTTACACTGCCTAAATAAAGCTAGGACCATATCTGCATTTTAATAAGCGCATTAAAAATTGCATGGTTTGATTTTTAGAGCATGAAATACAGAAAATATGATGGCAACCTATGCAAAATCCTCTCTTGATATAGTCAAAAAAAACATGTATCTCCGCTATTCTTTTGTCCATTTTCCTATTTCCTTCATTATTTTTTATTTTTGTTATCTTTGACCAACATTAGATTATTTATACATTGTATGATACAAAACGGATATTGCTATACATGTAAATATTGTTTTCATGATATGTTTTTCTAACTATGTATGTGAGCATTTCATCTTATACTTGAAAAACAATGAGAGATGATTTTTGGTGCATAAGATATTGTATTATATAATGGTTTTTTTGTATATATCTCATAACTTTAGCTTATCCGACGCACAATGTAATAAATGGCTTTGCTCAAACGGCGCAAAATCCGCTAGTAACGGATGATATTTCTTTCTCATGTCTTTAGCTTATGTTCTACGCAATGTAATAAGTGGATTTGCTCAAACGGCGCAAAACCCGCTGGTAATTGATGATATTTTTGTTCTCATGTCTTTAGCTTATGTGGTACGCAATGTAATAAATAACTTTGCTCAAACGACAAAAAACCCACTAGTAACGGATGGTAGCACTATGTCATGCAAAGGCACCGCCCGCACAATCCAGTCTCATTTTCTTTCTCTCTTTTGTTCGCTTACTCTACATTTTGGAACCTTTTGACCAACATTAGATTAGCAGTAGATTATTATGATGTTATGATATTTGTAAATGTTCTAATTTTCCAACTATGCATGTGAACAAATCAACTTATACTTGGAAAAAATAACAACAACAACAACAATATGAGGTGTGATTTTTGGTGCAAAAGTTATTATTATATAATGGTCTCTCATGATTATTTTTTTCGTATTATTAGCTTATGCCATACGCAATGTAATAGTGACTAGGCGCAAATGACACAACACTCACTAGTAACGGACGGTAGCACTATGTCACGCAAATTCACGTGCCGAGCATTTTACTCTAAAAATTTCCATCTGATTTTTCTAGTTCCTTCACTTATTCTTCATTTTGGCATCTTTGACAAATAACTATCAGTAGATTATATGATGTTATTGTTATGTTTGTCGATATTTCTTTCATGTTCTCTTTTTCTAACTATGCATGTGAACAAGTCAACTTATACTTGAATAAAGAACAAAAATTGAGGTATGGTTTTTGGCGCAAATGATATTACTATATAATGATATTGCAGAAAAAGGAACATTGTCTCTTTAGCTTATGACATATGCAATGAATGCCTGGATCAAATGGCACGATACCCACTAGTAACAAACGCCAACACAATGTCACAAAGGTACTTGTTAACATTCTTCTCTTATTTTGTTCTTACTTTTCTATTGCCTTCCCTTATTCTTCATTTTGGTATCCTTGGCCAACATTCAATTAGCAGTAGATTATACTTGTAGAAAACATTTATGTTCTTTTTTTCTATGTTTGTGAACAAGCCATCTTATACATGCAAAAACAACAAAGTAATGGTGTGTGGTTTTCGATGCAAAAGATATTATTATATAATGGTCTTCCGTATATTATCTTTAGTGTATATTAAGTTCTGCAATACATAATGTCATAAATGACTTGGATAGAATAGCTCAAAACATGCTGGTAACGAATGGTCGCACCCTGCCCCTCAAAGGCACCCACCACACTATTTACTCTCCTTTTGACCACCACAGATGCTTGTTGTGAACAAGCCATCTGTGCATAAAATATTATCCCATAATTGTTTTTCATATATATTTTTTGTCGTGTCTTTAGCTTATACAACACAAAATGTATAAATGACTGGGCTTGAACTACACAAAACCCACTAGTAACGGGTAGTACCGTGTTGTGCTAAGGCACCAAGCACAAAATTTACTCTTCTTTTCTCCATTTTGCTATTTCCGTCATTATTCTTTATTTGTGTTATCCTTGACCAACATTAGATTATTTATACATTGTATGATACAAAATGGATATTGCTATATATGTAAATATTGTTTTCATGATATGCTTTTATAAATATGTATGTGACCAATTCATCTTATACTTGAAACATAAAACAAAAAATAAGATATGATTTCCGACACATAAGATATTATTATATAATAGTTTTCTGTATATATCTCATATCTTTAGCTTACCTTATGCACAATGTAATAAATGGCTTTGCTCAAACGGCACAAAATCTGCTAGTAACGGATGGTATTTTTCTCTCATGTCTTTAGCTTATGTTATACACAATGTAATAAATGAATTTGCTCAAACGGCACAAAAACCGCTAATAACGCATGATTTTTTTCTCATATATTTAGTTTACGTGGTACGCAATGTAATAAATAACTTTGCTCAGACAACACAAAACCCACTAGTGACGGATGCTAGCAGCATGTCATGCAAAGGCACCGGCCGCACAATCTAGTCTCATTTTCTTTCTCTCTTTCGTTCGCTTACTCTACATTATGTAACCTTTTGACCAAAAGTTGATTACCAGTAGATTATATTATGCAAAATGGATGTTATTAAATTTGTAAATATTATAATTTTCCAATTATGCATGTGAATAAGTCAACTCATACTTGAAAAAATAACAACAACAATATGAAGTATGGTTTTTGGTGCAAAAGATATTATTATATAATTGGGCCATTTGCATTTCTGTCCCTAACTCGAACCACCTAATCAGATATAACCCTAATTCGAAAGGCTGCTTAAATTTGCCCCTCCGCCGTTAGGTGCCCTTACAGAAATGTCCTTCTGTGCCGTTATCGTCCAGTCAAACAGCTTTGACCATCCTAAAAAAATAGCAAAAGAAATCTAAAAAATCTAAAATTTTGTGAGATCGGAGATACTCATGTGCGCAAGGTGTGTGCAAATTTTTGTGCTATTTGGACATTCCAGGAGCTCGTGGCGAGGAAAAACAGTTAATCTACACGCTTGTGAACAGTAAATTTGAAATAAAATAGCAAGAAAAATCAAAAAAATATGAAATTTTTTGGCATCAAAGAGGCTTGGGTGCACAAGGTGCTTGCAAGTTTTGTGAGCAAATGACATGCAAGGAGCTCTAGCAATAAAAAACAAAATAGTCATTTTTCCCATTTTTTTTCCTGAGCCAAATTTTGTTTTTTTCTCCACAAGCCCCTCCATTGTCCAAACACAACAAAAATTTGCACGCAGCTTGCAGACCCGAGCCACTTTGATGCCAAAAAATTTCATATTTTTTGCTATTTTTTTGAATTTATTGTTCACATGCTTACATATTTATTGTCTTTCCTTTGACACGAGCTCCTGGAATGTCCAAACAGCACGAAAATTTGCACGCACCTTGCGAACCTGAGTATCTTTGATTCCACAAATTTTCAGAATGTTTAGATATTTTTTGCTATTTTTTAGGACGGTCAAAGCCCTTTGACCGGCTTTGATCTGCTTTGACCGGACGGTAACGGCACAGAAGGGCATTTCTGTAAGTGCACCTAACGGTAGAGGGGCAAATTTGAGCAGACTTTGAAATTAGGGGTAAATCTGAGAGTGGGCACAAATTAGGGGCATAAATGTAAATGTCCCTATATAATTGGCCTCCCATGATTATCTTTCTCGCATGATTAGCTTATTCCATACGTAATGCAATAGTGACTAGGCGCAAATGACACAACACTCACTAGTAACTGATGGTAGCACTGCCACGCAAATCCACCTGCCACACATTTTAGTATGAATTTTCGTCTAATTTTTCTAGTTCCTTCGCTTATTCTTCATTTTGGCATCTTTGACCAGTAATTAGCAATAGATTATATGATGCTATTGTTATGTTTGAAAATATTTCTTTCATGTTCTCATTTTCTAACTATGCATGTGAACAAGTCAACTTACACTTGCATAAACAACAAAAAACGAGGTATGGTTTTTGAAGGAAATATGCCCTAGAGGCAATAATAAAGTTGTTATTTATATTTCCTTATATTATGATAAATGTCTATTATTCATGCTAGAATTGTATTAACCGAAAACTTAGTACATGTGTGAATACATAGATAAACAGAGTGTCACTAGTTTGCCTCTATTTGACTAGCTCGTTGAATCAATGATGGTTATGTTTCCTAACCATAGACATGAGTTGTCATTTGATTAACGGGATCACATCATTAGAGAATGATGTGATTGACTTGATCCATCCGTTAGCTTAGCACGATGATCGTTTAGGTTGTTGCTATTGCTTTCTCCATAAGTTATACATGTTCCTATGACTATGAGATCATCCAACTCCCGAATACCAGAGTAACACTTTGTGTGCTACCAAACATCACAACGTAACTGGGTGATTATAAAGGTGCTCTACAGGTGTCTCCAATCGTGTTTGTTGAGTTGGCATAGATCGAGATTAGGATTTGTCACTCCGACTGTTGGAGAGGTATCTCTGGGCCCTCTCGGTAATGCACATCACTATAAGCCTTGAAATCAATGTGACTAATGAGTTAGTTGCGGGGTGATGCATTACGAA